ATTTACTCCAATATTTAAGAGTTTCAACGGAAAAGTTGGTCGATTTTTTAAATAAATAAATATTTATTTTGTTTTCCAATTACATACTCTATTCTTAAATATTATATAGACCAAACCAAAATCAAATAGACTATAAATACTATATAACTAAAGTGGATTCTGCATTGAAAAGTGAAAAATTGTTATATAATTCTCAAAACTAAATATTTGCTGTTTTTTTTTTTTACTTTTTCAAAAAAGGGCGTTGACAAATTGTAAATTAAAAGTTGCACACATACAAATCACACAAAACCACAGAGAAAAATGGAATACGTCCAATTCAAAAACGGCACCCCACACTACTATAGGGCCAAACCGGATCTCAATGAATGCATTCAATATCAAGTAAGCCACCCACGCCTCTAACGGAAATCAAAGTATTTTTTATTTATTTAAATAAATGCGCAATTATACTAGTTAATATCTAACTAACACACAGATCGTATACATACATACATACATATGTGGTATGTATGTATATGTATACGCTTACTTGTTTACAACGAGTTTCTAAAAAAAAAAATATTTTCCATATTAAAATGATTTAAAAAATGATTTAAAGGTTTTAAAAAACTAACATTCCACTGGCCTAAAAAGTTTGAAAAAAAAAACTGTTATCGGAAGTGCTAAAAACTTCAACTTCCCTCCTTACCAAACGAAATTAATACCGATTATATATCAACGTCTACTCTAAGCATGTACATATGTATGTATGTATGTATGTATAGTAAACACATATGGAATTAGACATGTTACCGAAGATGGCTAACGTCCAAAAACCCAAAACTATGGAAAATTTAAAATGTTTATTTATTTTAAAACATTTTTGCGAATTAAAAAAAAAAATTGTTGTAAACAACGCGCCCATATGGAGTTCCAGAACATTCGACGTTTATCCTCTATGAAACTTGTGCACATACATACATACATCTTTCTCCAAAGCATAACAAGCGAAAATTAAGAAATCCATGGTGAATTGAATGAGATGTAGAAAATGTGCGATATTTTGAAACTTTTATGATTTTGCGAATGTATGTATGTATGTATATTGATCATTAGAACAAACGATCACGTATGAAACACTGTATACCTAAATTATTTTTAGAAAACCGAGAAATGTACAAACATACATACATACATATCGTTACCTTAATGTAGAAAGGCCCTAAGTCATTTTCTACGGAAATTCAGTTGGGTACAAAAGTTGGTAGATTACTTACTGAAGACTTAATCAAATTTAAAATCTAATACTATATCATAACAAATAATTCTGTTAGTATTAAAACCGAGCGCAATGAAAAGAATCGCAACTGAAGAACTTTAATTTTTGTTAAGTTTTATAACTACTCTGTAAAGAAACAAAAATATGTTAGATGGGGCCTTTCTGCCTGCATTTGTACGTGAAAATGAAAGCATTGAATTATATCGGTTTCATATTTTCTAGCACAATTAGCACTCTCTCTATAGATTTTAGAAAATCTCTCGTAAAATTATTTATTATAAAATCAGTTGGCATTTTAACGATTTTACTATTGGTAGATATTTGTGACCAGGGAACGGATTTTATGGAAATTTCCTTTTTTTCTGCTAAAGAGATAGAGTATATTCGATTTGGAATGTCGCACGATTTAGCTCTCCCTGATTCCATATATACACATTTGAAGTTGTCCTTTTTAAGATATTTACCTTTTTTGCTTTTAGTACCTTTAAAAAAGTGCTTATAGCGAAGAGAAAGCCCTTATTCCTGATAATATAAAAGTTTCAAACGCCACTTGTATCAACTCACGTCGAGCGCACGTTTAGTACATTCAAAGCTGTGTTGAGGCCTCTTCTGTTACAAAAAAATCACGCTGATAATGAAGAAAATCGATTGATATATAAAGAAGTAATAAGTAGTCATATGAAAAGGCGCAAAAATTTTTTGTATAAAAAATTAGCAGGAAAGAATGTTACTCATACGCCACGTACAACTGAAAATATCTCGAAAACTTATCCATAGAATAAAAACTTAACTCGATTTTCGAAATCAGCGAGCAATTCTACATAGGAATTAGATAGTGGCGTCCGTTGAATATTTTTCCTGTAAACCAGTGTTATTTTTTGTATTTTTTTAGTGCCTTCTTTTGCCTTTTTTGCTACTTTTAGTGCCTTTTCCTGCTTATTTCCTTATTTTATTTTGCCTTTTTCTATAGGTTTTTAGATCCTAAACATCCGTTTGCAGTTTGTGACATTTGTATGTACATAGTATGAATATCTACACCAACAACGAATTGCTTCTGATTAAATATGATTTGGTTGTAATTGTCCGTAATTTGACTTCACTTAAAGAATATTTAAGAAGGGAAAACCTCACAGGATTCGCACTCCTATTTTTTTCATGTGGGTTATGACCTCCTTTTCACCGATTTCGCCGACACCAATGTCTCAAGCGCACCTAAGGACTGTATTAAAGCTACGCAGCGGCTTTTTTTTTTAAGTGACTTCCATTTTCGTATAATTTATTTAACTCGAAAGTCGTACGAAAGTCACGTCCGGCATCATGTATAAAACATGAATGAATAGAAAATTTATAAAGGAGTAGCAGAGTCCCAGTCGTTCAAATTATGAAAGAATTTTCGTGATGCAAAATAATGTTCTATATAACACGGCAAATACCAAAAGGTATGCGTTTTAAATAGCAAAGTATTTCTACCTATAATTCGAAATCTAAGCAAGACTTTTTTGCGATTGATCTCCACTCAACCGTTTGTAGATTTTTTGAATCGAAAATGTAAGGAATATTGGCTTTATTCAAAGTATTTTGAAGCACATGCTCATATTCGAGTAACCAGTAAAAAGTTATTAACTTTACATACATACATATGTATATACCTATGTATGCACATATCATACAATTGAAATTGAATTCTAAAATGCAAATGCATTATTTAAATATGTACATATGTAGGTATGTATTTTTGCATGTAGTAAATAGCAAATGTATGTACATAGGTAAATACAAAATATCTACTCTATTATTAATGGCCACACACATATAAATCCATATACATACATACGTTGCAGTAATAAATATAAACAAATTTATTTTGAGACGACACCTGCTTCGTCACGTCAATTTTCACTTTTTCAAGTTATGTGCGCAAATAAGTTTTCAAGTTTATTTATCTGTTCGAAAATTTTGGCTCTTTGTTTTAAAATTCAAATGTACATACCACAAATAATGCATGACCAAACGTCTGCATGAACAAACATACATATGCATGCACATTTTCATATATATACATCCTCGATATGCATGCACACATATATGTATTATTTAATGGTCTCCGATTTGAAAAATCCCTTCTTTATATTCAATTGTACTGAACTCAGGCAGGACGTTTTCTGCATCAATTCTATTTTTATATTGTAGTTTTTAAATACATTTTATAAGATCTAAAATTATTTACATCAACAAAAAATTAAAAGAAACTTACATTTTCATGGTCACAATGTGCACACCAACAAATGTGCACTGCAACTCAATAATGAATATTCAGAGAAAATGCATCACTACGAATAACGCCACAATTATAAATGTCACCTGAAGACATACTACCGTCATAGAATGCGTAATTGTACCGTCCGTTCTGCCGTTCTAAAATAGCCAATAACATTTTTGTCTACATATTTACTTCGTATTCTCGGAATAGAGTGAGATTAGTTCTGGCTCGTTTAAAAAATATTCCACGCTTTCTTTTAATAGTACGATCAAAATAGAAATCAAATGCATTAAAATACTTTATTTGTAAGATATTTGGTTATTTTATTAAAGGTTCGTCACTTTTGTTGATAAATACACACGGCTTCAATTCATTTGTATGGTTGTGAGCTTATTTGATTTTAATCTTTTTTCAATAAATTAATATTAATTTTCTATCTACATATGTATGTATTCGGTTTTACTAATGCACTATCTGATGGATTTTCTTGTTTCGTGCTAACATTTTCCAAGGCAGGAAGTGTCGTCTAAAATAGAAGCAATTAGCTGTTTGTCCTTTAAAGCTCCATTCACCTCCTCTTCGTCCCATTGCAGCAACACCTTGCACAATCGTGGTTCTTTTTTGCGCATGATTCGTAGTATGCCGCGTGTCTCAACCAACTCAACTAGTCCGGCAAACTCAGCTTGATCCAAAACGTGTATATTGCGCTTAAGACACACGCGTCGATACACTTCGTGCAGTCGTCCAATGGTTATGTCTTTATTGCGTTCTTTACGCAGCATCAACATGAGCGTACATAACGCAATCTTCTGCTGCAGTGGAAACGAGTCTTCTATGTCCTCTTGAAGGTTCTGTGAAGTACCATACACTTTGTTTAACACCTCAGCAACTTGTGTTACTTGTACTGGTTTAAGGATAACTGCCGAAAAAAAAGTAGTTTTGAGTAAGAAATAATATTTTTAAAGAAGTCACCAACTTACCCTCTTCAGTCTTTTCGTCGCTATTATTACCCAAAGCCAAGCTATTAAGATTAACCTGTCGCTGACCTAATTTCATCTGTTGTTCTGCTATTTCAGCCGCTCTTCTGCCAATATCCAGTGCGCGCCGAACGTCACCACTCACCGCACTGACTTTGGCTGCTAAAAGTTGGAGTGTGACTGGCGGAAAGATATCCAGCACGCCAGCTTCTTCTAGCCTTGCCCGAAATATCTCGACTATTTGCTGTTTGGTGTAAGGGGGGAAATGCATATGACGTGGCTTTAGTTCACAACGTGCATTTAAACGCATTAGTGTACGCTCTGTAAGATCGAGACTATTGGCTATGCCTACCAAAAGCAATCGAGCTCCTGGTAGTGAAGGCCACTCGAAAATAGTATAAAGCACCGATTGTTTGGAGCTGCAAAGCTGATCGATTTCGTCCAAAACTATGAGCAGCATGCGACGCGATGTTCGCAAATGATTCTGTACAGCTGCCAAATAATCCCGCTCACTGCGTCCGGAAGGATGAAGTTTTATTTCAGTACACAGCTTCTTATACACTCCATTAATGCTGGCAATGGACGTGCAATTGATGTAAACACATTGCAGTTTTTTGGATAGCTCAGGTGACCTTAAAAGTAAAGAAAGGCAAGCTGTTTTTCCAGTACCAGGTTGTCCAGACACATATAAACTACCAGAACGTTGTTCTTGTAAATGTTCCTGAAAGAATTCTCTTAGCTCTTGCAATTGCTGTTCTCGCCCAGGTAAATTTTGTGTTTCTGCGCTGTTCAAAACACGACG